GCAGGGTGGTCTCTGCCAGGGCGGCCTGTGCGACACCAGACAACCGTTAGACGACGGATGTGCAGACCGTTCACACTGACAGAAAAGTGGAAAAAAAAACGGCAGTCGGTCCAACTTTGACTCTATTTTAAAAAAAATTTTAAAAGCCCAATTTTGGTCAAAAAAATGGAATTCCCTGCAACTTGGGTTCATTTGAGCCTGCTATTTTTTTTTTTTTTTTTAATTTAAAATATATTTTTTTAGCATTTAGCCTGGCGTTTATTTTTCTTGTGCAGCCGGCCAATGAAAAAGGTGAAATGCGCCCCCTCCCCTGCATGACCCAACGAGCTGCTTTGATCAGATCAGAAGTTGAAAAGGGGAAGCAGGATGAATAAATAAATGATGCCCAGATTGGAGCAGCAAGTGACAAGCGTACTCGCGGTTGCCATTCAAACGCCCTCATCCCCCTTGAAAACTTTACCTCCAAATAAAAGAAAAAAAACCTTTGACACTTTTGCCGGCCGAGCATGAAAGTTATATGCCGCGATTAAATTTTTAAAAGTTTTCCGCCATGAGAACCGAGCCGACGTGCGCGATGAAGTCAAATCATTGATGACAGAGCGGATAAATATTCATGCGCGTGCCCTTGCGTTTGCGCACGGACGTCGTCGCTCTCGTGTGGCTGCGAGCGGGACGAAGGAAGCTGTCGGCCCACCCCCGCTTCTGCTATTGAGGTGGTCATCTGCTTGGGTTCCTACCTGGAGGCTGGCGTTGAGTGGAGATCCGTAGCCCAGACTGGAAGGCAGGTTCTTGACAAGTGACGGGCTTCTGGAGAGGGACGAGGTGGAACAGCGCTCAGTTAAGATGACAAATTGATTGGCGGATACGCTTGAAGAAGCAAATTGACAAAAACATTGCGACACTGAGCATGAAGCTCAGGTACGTTTGTGGTGGTGTTTTTTTTTTTTTTTAATTCATTCATCAAAAACAACTCACTGGGATGTCAAGTACGGTTTAGTTCGAACCAAAAAGGCGATCAAGTCCACAAATTGTTTGAGCACAGAGCAGGGGTGTCCAAACTTTTTTGCATAAAAATGGACGGATGAAAGGGCAACTTGAAAGTTCTTCAATGTCAGTCAAGAAAGCAATTCCATATTGTTTGTATTGTCCAGCTGATTTCATCAGATTTCTGTTAAAGCTGTTGAGGCAAACGGTATATAAATAAATGTATTTGTATGAATGGCACCAGCACAGCCTCCCATCTCGCTCTGCCCACCTTCACTTTTTTTTGCAGCCCATTGTCAAATTTTTTTATTTTTTATTTTTGTCATCCCATGAATTATTGATCGCAGCATCTTATTAAAGGCAACGTGAACAAATTTACTGTCTCGGAAATGTGTTCATCGGGAGCCAAGAAGTCCCGTCGCTCTCAATTCCCACAAGGTCGGCGACCCCTGCTCGAAGAAGGTCTTAAGGACCGAGTCCCACTTCCTCCCCTGCTCGATCACGACTCGTACCCTGTAATCTTCTGCGACCGGCGTTTCTGGTATTCCACCTCGTCCACCGTCCACACGGCGCCTTTCACGTTCTCCACGCGCACAAAGCACTTGTGCAGGCTCAGGTTGTGGCGCACGGCGTTCTGCGGGTCAGAGGAAGACAGCGAGCGAGCGAGCGCGGTCACTCATTAGCTCCATAATTGATTTTTTTGGAAAGAAATTCTGAACATTCACGCTCCATTGATATAATTAGCAATAAAAAAAAAAAAAAAAAAGAGAGAGAAAAATGAGTGAAAGTGACTGCTCTTACAAGTCAGGCCCACAGTACATATCAATCAGAGTAAGAAGACTAAAAGGAGGTAATCAGCATAGCGAATGGCTTATGGTGCTGACAGAAGTGGTAATGCGGGCCTTGATAATGGCGATGTCAGTAACCCTCTCTTGTCCTTAATGGACACGCTGTTTCAAAAAAAAAAAAAATGACGGCCGTAAGATGTGTGCACGTGTTTGCCTTTTCGCTATTAAAGCCGTCCTGTAAATGACGACACTCATCCAAAGTGAGGTGATTCTCCTCATTGCAATGTGCGCAAACCCCCCAAATATTATGACCGTCATTAAAACCTGCATCAGGCTCAAACAATCAGCACGGCTTTAATGTCCCTGCCTCTCATATTTATCACCTCCCTCGGATTGGCGTGCGTGCTCTTCCGCCAAGAAAAAAGGGATTCGGCGGTGGAGGGGGGG